CTGCATTTGGGTCGTCAGCAGATTTTTCTATTCTGATTTTGATTACATTCATTCTGATGGCTTGTTCTTGGGCTGCAAGAATCAGGCCTTCTGTTTCTTTCTTCAGTGTTCTATTGGTCAGCCATAATTAGGTCTTTTCCTTATCTACTTTTCCTTGGATCTTTTCAAGGAACTGTCCATGCAGTGTTTTGTTACACCAGCTGTTAGCCCGCGTTTGCATCGCTGTTTTCCTATATTGATTCTTGGTTTGCTGCACTTTGAGCAGCTTCCTCTTGTTGACTTCCATCAAAGCTGGTTCAACACTATCTTTCACATAATCTGCCAGAGCAAGCTTCTATTCTTCAACTATCTGCTTCATTTGCAAAAGTCCTCTGCCTCCTGCTTTTCTCGCAAATATAGCCTGTCAACATCACAGAGCATATGCAGCGATGATGATGATGGTGATGATGATGCCTCAGTGGAGCGGTGGTTAGAATTAGGGGTGGGATTCAATTATTTTAACAACTGGTTCTGTGGGCATGGCTTAATTGGTGGGCATGGTTTGGTGGTCATGTGACTGGCTGGGCATGGCCAACTCAATATCACTCACATTGAGGCACACATCTCCTCGCCTGGCCTCTCAAGACTGTGGGGATGCTGCAACAGTCATAAGTGTGAAAAATGGTCATGTCACTTTTTTCAGTGCCATTGTAACTTTGAACGGTCACTCCACAACAAGCAAAGTACCAGCAAAGGAGAGGAAAAACTCCAGAGAAGTTCCTGAGACAGGAAGTCTAGTCCTGCCAAGAATGTAATAAGGGTTAATGGAGAGGCAGTTTCTGTAAGCAACACCAGGATGTTTACTTCCTGCCTTCCTTACAGGATTAGGCTAGTAATTTCTTCTAACAACCAGTTCTCCAAACTGCTTAAAATGTTAACAACTGGTTCTAGAGAATAGGTATGAACTGATAGAATCCCACCCCTGGTTAGAGTGCAGTACTGCAAGCTACTTCTGCTGCAGACAGCTGCCTGCAATCTGGCAGATCAAATCTCACCAGACTCAAGGTTGACACAGCCTTCCATCCTTCCAGGTGGGTAAAATGAGGACTCAAATTGTTGGGGGACCAGAGGCTGACTCTGTAAATCACTTACAGAGGTCTGTAAAGCACTATAAAGCTCATTGCATCGTGCAGTCTTTTCAAGATGAAAATAGAGGGAGACTGAAGAAGAATTTATGGATCTAGATTCAGTGATCTCCTGCCTGAAGAATTGAAAGTGCACGATCGATCTAAATTAACCACACACAAAAAAAATAATACCCAAAGATACTACCTGGAATACCAATATGATTGTGTTGCAACTGTGAACTTTTTTAATGAGGAACCATGAGAGAATGCCACGTCCCTCTTCATGGCTTATTCTTGGAGGCATGCTGATATTTGTTTTGCAGCTGTCTTTCGCAGTACTCTTTTCAAATTTGGATACTGTCCTCTTTGTAAAACAAAAAAAAACTAGTCTGCATGGACAGATTACCTATCTAGAGTCTCTTATCTGTGCTCTCTAAACAGAAATTAGGTGCCCAATCCAGCCATCTATTGAGCTGCCGTGCTATCAGCCCCCACTACCACAAAGATCCTACAGGAAAAGTGCAGTATGGACAACCGTGGGATCTGGCAGGGTGAGAGCATAATGTGGACCATAAACACAAAGCTTTTACTGTGTCTCAGCATAACAGATACAGTGCCCTTTTTTACCTTAATAGGGACACTAAAGTGACAGGTCAAGGTAGCTGTGATAATGATAACTCAAATAAACCGGGGATCATGGTCCTAGAAGAACAACTTACTTTGGAAAAGAGAAAGTGTGAATCAGTTATTATGCTACAGTTACACAAGAGAGCAAGGTATCCAAAAAGAGAAGCCACCTTCTGGTTGGGGACTCAATTGTAAGGGATATAAATTTAGGAAAGAATACGGAGGTTTTGAAAGAGGTCAGGTGTCTGCCAGATGCTACTGCCAGCTGAGACAAGAGCTGTATTCTTAAGATAGTCAAGAATGCCAGTAAGGTCTGTGATGTTGATGCTATTATACATCTTGGTAAAAATTAATAAGGATCCCAGTGCATGTAAAATAGATGTTTCTGCAGGTAAGATTATCAACCTTGCTGTCAAACAAATCAAGCATTTAATAGTGAGTGCCATACCATGGGCATCAATCAAACGGGTGGCAAGAAATTAGGGGCAGGCAGACACAACACAGGTTATGTAAACAGTAAACACAGCATCAGACATAAAGATCTCAAGTGCCTATATACAAATTCAGAATGTCTGGGGAACAAACAGGGTGAACTTGAACTACGAATACATGAAGGTAGATATTATATAGTTGGAATAACAGAAATTTGATGGGATGAAACCCATGATTGGAACATATTGGTAGAAGGAAACTATTAAAAAAAAACAACAACAACAGACCCCATAAAAGAGGAGGTGGAGTTGCACTGTATGTAAAAGACCTCTATATTGCTACAGAAATGCATAAAACCAAAGATGAAAACATCCTAGAATGCATGTGGGTCAATATAAAAGAAAAAAAGAATGACATGGCCTTACGTGTATATTATAGGCCACCTAATCAAGCAGAAAAAATAGATGTCCTTTTTGCCAACCAACTAACAAACATATGCAGGAAACACACAACAATAGTAATGGGGGACTTCAATTATCCTGATATCAATTGGAAAACTAATTCTGCACCAAGTGAGAAATAAAATAAGTTCCTAACCCACCTAGCTGACAACTTCGTTGTTCAAAAGGTAGAGGATGGAACTAGAGCAGGGGTTCCCAATCTGGGGTGCTCGCACCCCCTGGGGATGCGAGATGATATTCCAGGGGGTGCGAGAAAAGTCCAGGTAAATAATACGATATTGGCTATATGTTGGCATTTTTATTCCAGGGGGTGCAAGGTTCGAGTGAAATTTCTTTAGGGGTGTGGGGCAAAAAAAAGGTTGGGAACCACTGAACTAAAGGGACAGCCATACTGGACTTAATTCTTACAAACTGAGAAGAAGTGATAGAGGGAGTTGAAACTGTAGGAACCTTGCTTGAGAGTGACCATATCATACTAGAATTCAACATAACACAAACACAAGCAATAGAACATAATGACACCAGAGTCTTGGATTTTAAAACAGCTGATTTTGCTTATGGGTTATATTCCTTTAAAAAATTACCAAAATCTATTTTAAAAAGTTGTGTAAACATACTCACTTCCAAGCCCAATATAAGTTAGCCAGAGAAAGTCATTTGCATTTATCAACAGTATTATAAAAAGTGTTTCCCAATGTGTCTCTTTCCAGATGTAGTTGATTTCACTTCCCAACATTTCAACTCAGCATGTACACACGTAAGTTTTAGGAGTGTGGCTCAAAGCTCGTGATTTAATTGGAGTAACTGCCAGAACCCTGACACACGTAATATTATTTGGGAATGATGGCAGATGAAATGCAACATGTATGGATGGCACAAAGTTTGGAAAGTTTAAACTGTTTTTATATTTAAAAAATGCTTGAAAATCCATATTTTTAACTCCAATGAATGAACAGCACATTTTGGTGAATCAATTCTAAATATCCGACATGTGCACACCAATTGTGTTTCTTTTCTGCATCGAATCTTCCAATTGCTGGTGGCAATCAATGATTTATTCCGGTTCATTCATCCTTGGCAATTCTGGGCAGTAGAGGGAAGGAATATCATTTGAAACATTTTCATCAATAACTTCCATTGATAACTTCCACTGACTTCAAAGGACCAGGATGGTCTTTATTCCTAAAAAATCCACCAAAATGTATTTTTTTTATTCTATCGGGAGGACTGTTTTCTCAGGAACCTTCTACTATTTATTTTGTGTATATTCAGCTTTGATTAGATGAAAATTCTATCACAAAGGTGACATTTGGGTATAAAATCATCAATGTTTAGACTAATCCATGGAGTTTTGCACTGATCCCAAACTTAATCAAAGGCAGTTGCAACTGAAACTGAAATCTTGCAATTACTTACCATGGAGAAAGTCTGCTAAATAGAACAGAGCATGAATAAATCTGAAGTAAATACATCCTGGATTGCCTTATGAGACAATAATCTCGCATATACTTACTTGAGAGCAAATCATATTGAAAATAGTGGAACCTATTTTGAAACAGGAATGTGTGAAATTGGATTTTATATCTTGAGGAAGCAACAGTCAGGACACATTTGTTGTATTAATGTAAATGGGATGGAGTTAGATGTAAATCTAGTTGGGCTCAGGCTGGTTTTAGTTTTGCAGTTGCTTTTAATTACTCCTGTTATAAAATAGGAAGCAACATGTTGCTTAAATGTTTTCTATAAAAAGAATAATAAATTTGTATACAATTTGAACAAAGGCAAAGACTAGAAAGCAGAAACCATGAGTTCAAATCTCATCTTAGCCATGAAAGCCAGATAGGTGACCTTGACCTATTGACTCTCCCTCAGCCCAAACCACAGGGTTGTTTCTGTGGGGAAAAGATAAGTTCAATATGTTCACTGCTTTATACTTATTGGTGAAAATAATACAAATGGAATAAAAATAAAAATAAATTAACAGTAAAGAAATAGATGAATAGATATTTATGGGACTGCTCTGAAGACAAGTTTAGCTAGAAGTCGGCTGCAAATCTAATATTTAGAATGTATCAACAGAAGGAAGTCACGTATTTGAAAACAGTGGCAGTTATGGGTCTCCTCAGATGTGTATGTAATATGAACAAATGATTCTGACCTATGAGAGGGAGAATTTTCCTAATGGACTTGTATGTAATGAAGTTTGATCTAGTACAGAGTAATAGAGCAAGTGCACGTTAAATAAAAAGGTCAGGTGCAGGACAATGGAAACTGCCATACATTCTTCTCAGAAACTTTTCTGTCAAGCATATTAAAGAAAAGCTACAATATTTTTTTATCAGGAAAAAAATGCCATTAATGCTCTCATCATGTATTCAGCTTTCAAAAGGATTTAATAAATTATGATGATTCAGTTATTTCATTGTATAAACTATAAATATATAATAGAGCCCTCATAATTTAAAATAATTTACAGGCTAAGGTGGGGGGTGGGGAGAAAGTGAGTATTGGAGCAATCAATGGCCCATCAGAAGTTTTCAGTTTTTCTACTGATTACGCACACACAGGCAGCGTCAATCCGAATGAAGCGCCAGGATGCCTGATTGCCTTCCATGGTTAATGCCCTGACATATGTCTGTGTTGTGGTGCAATAAGAATTCCAATGCCCGGAATCAATGCCCCTGCACCCACTTGGTACTGGATTTGGATTTCTGCACTTGGTTTCAAAAAAGTACTGCTTGTAGACATGGTTATTAAGATTTACATCCACCATCACAGTCACCGGTTTGCCTTTGATGTCCATTGCTTTGGTTTTGTTGGCAACCCAGACACTGATACTGTCACACACAGAATATTCCCCTCGGTTATGCACAGGATGAGTTTCACGTTTGGCCCGGATATTCCTGTTAAGAGTGTCTTCATTGTCCAGGAACTCCACACTTTGCTCATCTCT